ATATTTCAATTTTATTATTTTTTCCGTATAGTTTTGATATTTTATTTCACAAAATATCATACAAATTCGAATCTGCGAAGATTTACAAAGTTTTCGTCTTGTAACTTTTATATATTATAGATCAGATTATGCTAGACAAATCAATATAAAAAATTTAACTTTTTGTTAGTTATTTTGTGTTGTACAATATTTCAGATATGTAAGCACATATGTCAAACTAGATAAAATTTGTCATAGAATAAGAAAAGCTCCGAAATATTATTTTGGATATTTTGTATACATATTTTTGTGAATTGTGATTATCATTATGACAGATTTGTTTCCTTGCAAAATCTATTATTAATTGTTTATATTGGTTTATATCGAGTTCTGCAGCATGTTGTGACATTTGTACATGTCAAAATTGTTAACATTTATATGCTTATGTATCAAAAATATGTGAAAAAATAATCAAATTGAGGAAAGTCCAGGTGGTTATGGTTAGACGGTGTATGTTATGTGCAATCAATTGGAGTTATAAGAGCTTGTGCACATACGTAATTATTCATCTATGTATATACAAACAAGTCTAAAAAAGTCGATTTATAAGTGGAAGTGGAGTAATAAGCAAGGTTTATAAAACTAGACCAGACCGGCTTGTTCAACCGATTTGAGTGTAAACCGGTGGTTGACCCGGTTTGAAACCTATACTTGATCGTTTTTTCATTGAACGGTAGGGAAGCAATTGAACTGTCGGTTCAACCGTGAACCAAAGAGCATATTTCCTCATTTGAAAACCATGAATATTACTTCTTTTTTTCATTCTTCAAAGGCTATGCACAACTAATGCTCCCAATTCAAAAAAGCAAAAGAAAACTATTAATTTCCAGCTATGTTCCCAACTCGCAAAAAACAACCATTAATTAATTTTCGACTATGTTCCTAAATCAAGAAGGCAAAAAACAACCATTAATTTATAGATTAATTTATATATATGAAAAAAAATCATGTATTTCCATTCACGAAGTGATTAAGGATATATAAATGTGTTGTACTTGAGAAATTCAGAAGCACAACTAGTACAATATAGTTGTATTTCATGAAATACTGAATAATACACATAGTAAATCACCAAAAAAAATGAAAGTTTCTTAAACAAAAATTAAGCAATTCTTGTATACGAAATTATTCAAAAAATATTTATGAAACTTTATTAAATAAAACAATGAGTAAACACATGATGTAAAATCATTTTTAACTTAAGAAAAGTAGTACAACCAGTACACTATGGTTGTACTTCATGAAATGTTTAAGTAAAATTTAACACTTCCTATATATGAAATTATTCAAAATATATTCAAGATATAATATAGTGAGTAAACAAATAGTGTACAACTATGTTAGAATCAATAAAGACAGTATTACAACCAATACAATATAATTATATTTACGTAATACATAATACTAAATGCAGTAGACTATTCCAGAAAATAATGAAAGAATCTTATAGTAAAATTTAGTTATTCTTATATATGGAGTTATTCAAAAAATATACAAGAAACTTTATTAAGTAATGTAGTAAGTAAACACAAGGTGTACGATCAATTTATACAAAAAAGAGACATTGATACAACCAAATATGGTATGGTTATACTTCATGAAATACTGAATAATACATGAAATAAATCACTCCAAATATAAAATAAAAGTTTCTTAAAACACAATTCAACATATCTAACTAACTAAATGTGTAAGGACATGGTTACACTCCCGCGTTTCTTACAAAGAAACATAATCAAATGATTCTTGTAAAAAAAGTAGGTTAAACTTGTAATATCAAAGAAAATGCTAAACAGTCTTAGAAATTAGGTATGTTGATGAAAATGTGTTATAAACCTAACAATGAGTTCAACACTAATATCGTCAGTTGAAGGAGAAGCGGATGTGACCTCCAAATGATACAAGTTAATGTACTGCTTGTTCTCCATCTTCATGGCTATTGCTATGTTTATCATGCACGACTAATTCTTCCTCTTAAAAATTTTTCTTTTTCTTTATCTTGAGTTTGGGCAACAAGAAAATATTCAAAGCTAAATTATAACTTTTATATGTTTGTTTTCAAATTTATGCCACCACATTATTTATAATGCGTGCAAACTCTACTATTAGACAGGTTGAGTCAAGCTTCTTCATTAATTCTAAATTTATATATAAAATATATATCAAACATGTGTCAATCTTTGATTGAGGTCCGCATGTAACTCTACATCAAGTCCATGCATGTAATATTTTCTCTTGAGGATGAGGTAATCGAGCAGAGATTGGACCACATTAATCTTTCGATTTTTATTAATTAATCTTATTTCTCTTTTATACGATATTTCGTATATCAAATTTAAATTGATATTATTGCCTCAATCAAATTTTAGTAAATAAACAAAAAATGATCAAATTTTTTATCTTAGACAATATAAGAGTAGTTTAAAGTCATTTATGTCTTCCTTAGTGGTTATGTTTAGTTTTTCTTTTTTTTGGTTGAATCTTTAATTTATTGATTAAAATTGAATATATTTGGGCAAGTATATTGAATTTACTTTGATCAATCAAAATTTCCTTTATAAATCCATGATAGATTGTATCAAAAAGTTCCTTATTCAAATCAATCTTTTTAATTCTTTTAATATCGGGATTAGCACTCTTAAGCATATTCTTTTAAGAATTAAAAAGGAAAAACACCACAATAAATTATTCTATTGTATTTCTTCATATATGTACAAATTTCATATTCATTGTAAGAAAAAATAGATCCTAAATTTAACCATAAATAAAGAGTTTTTTATTGCCCCAATATTGAAAGTCTCTCCTAATATCCCATCCATTTTATTAATTATGAAGTCTTAACTACACACGTGTTATTTTTGGCAAATCATTGCTTATTGATGTTGTTAACATTAAACTTTCATACATGCATAAGGTGTTGTTTGTTATCAACATTACTATAAACTTTGAGGACGAAATGTGAATTCATAATGCAGATGATAGAATTTGGCTAGATGTTAACTTTGAGATATCTTCCTAATACTTTATTAAGTTTAAAATTCATAATTATGAAAAATAAGTCTTGATTTATTTTTTATCTTGAGCTTAGGCCCCCTTATGCTTTTTGGGAGAAAGAGGTTGGGAGAAAGATATTCCTCACATTTTAAAATTTGCTTGAGAAAGCTTCTTTAGATCCTAATAAAAGACTATTTCGTCACCTAAAATTTAAATGAGATTATGATTTACATTGAAGCAAACTTAATCAACCAATCTAATTCGAATTAAAGCATGATGATTTATCAACTAGTGAGATTCAATGCAATGGAAATGCTTCTGATGTTGCTCTTGTCCATGCTGTTAATCTTTCTTAAGCTAATCAATTGGTGGATTAGTTGAGCTTTTCCTAAGTCAACTTTTAAAAATGTTGTGAACTCTAAAGTTTCTATCTTCCTCTTCCCATTAATGGTGGCACTTCCCTTCAAGTTCCTTCTAGTAATGAGAGAGGGGAACTTTCTTATCGAGATTTTATTTTTAATGTTATGGGGGCACTCTTCTTAGAATTCATTATCTGAAAAACAACTTTGAAGATATTATAAGTATCACTTAGTTTAGTTGATGGCAATTGTAAATCATTAATTTGTAGTAGAGAATTGTCCACTGGCTATAAATGGAGCCTTTAATTCTTAGATTAATTTTAACTACAAAAAAATCATATAAATTCTGTTTACTATAGAGAGATAAATATAAACATAAGTGATATTTAAGGTGCCTAAAATAATAGTTGTTTTAAAAATCCAATAACATTCATGGTTATTTCCATCTTTGCTTTGGTTAATTATAACATTTTTATGGGTCTACTCCAGGATGCATTTTTTGTCCAATTGAAAGGTTTACTTTTTGAAGGTGACTTGCATTGACATATTATGATTCTTTTTATAATGCTTGAAATGGTTTGACTTAACTTTTGCTCTTCTATTTATTTTTATGCAAAATATGTGTCATATGAATCTCTTCGTCGTGTTTACTTTTGTGCTTAAAATTAGTTGTTGTAATTTCTTTTGGTTTTTGCTTATATTGCAAATATGAACCATTTTTAAATATCATTATGTTCATCTTAAATGTGTTGTACATTGCTTGTAATTCTATCACTATGAAGAAGTATACCTCTTCCCAATCTTTTCGATATATGTTCTCTTATGACAATAACTTTATTAAGAAATGCTTGAGGTCATTCTTTTTACTCATATTTATTCTAGAACATATGCTCTATCATTATCATCTACTTTAATCCAATTTTTTCTTTAATATAACATAATATAATACATCTATATCCTCATATATTTACATATATGTGCATATATCACACACACACATAAATGAGCGTGCGCACACACAAATTGGACCTAACAAAGTGAATTATCCACACTTGTTAACTTGGACCCTTCGACAATCATCATGGACTCGTGCGAGCCCAAATTTATCACAGCAATGCTAAATTACCCATTACTTCCCTTATAGGTCCCTTTATATTGAGATACATCTCAGTTTAATGTTTAGGAATTCACATACCATTGAACCCTAACATATTCATATATCTAACATCTACACATTCATACTTACTTTTGCAAGATCATATTCTTGAAATAGCATTAAAAAATCACTAATACAAACTTATTTACAATGCAACATGTCTTGACATGTGTATGAATTGATGTGAAATAAAATAAGTGTTATCTAAGTTAATATAAAGATTTAGATATTTGATGCATGCATCCATAAAAAATTAACGTTGTAATATATAAGCCCCATCAAGTATCGATACATAATGCATTAAATTATGTAAATATAAACAAAATCATCCCATTAGTGTGAAGTTATAGGCTCAAAGATATTTTAAATTTTAAAAACATTGTATTAATAATATTCAATCAGAATAGTCTCATGGCGCTGTAAAAACAAGGGAAATTTACATACATAGCACACAATTCTTATAAGTATGATGAAATATCTAACATTTCAATTTAAAGTACATAAAATGATCCATAACGCATCCGAGAAGAGGTGAATTAGATGCATAATTTTGGATCTCATTCTTGTCATAAAAACTTAAGAAGACATATCTATACAGGAATACCACCAACTCGTAGCAGGATAAAATGTGTTGCAGTTTAAAGCAAAAATGATGGTAAGCGCTCGCATGTAAATAGCAGGCAAAGTAAATAAGCAAAATAATATGTCACTGATAATTCCCTTATGCGCATCCAATCTCATTATTTTCCGGCATTGAATACAAAAGAAAAAACCACAGGCCGTTCATAATATAGCATGTTGTTTGATCCTTTCATCTCCATGCCCATGTAAGTCTGCATTGAAAATACGCCAAACTCATCAGAGTTGTCAGTAAAAATGTCAGAAAATGAAACAAAAAAGGGAGATTTACAAATATACTAAACAATTCTTGTATTTACATATTTATAACACAAGATTGATATTTACACGCATAGCACTCAAATCTTTAATATCACCTAGTTTTTAAAAGAAATACACATTTCATGAAGGTTTATAACCCTAAAGTGTTATAAGTGTAAATATTTGGGGGTTAGATATGTAAATACATAAGAATTGTGTGGTATATAAATTTCTAAGGAAAAAAAATACTCAGGATATCAACCAAAGCATTATATCAGAATGAGTCTCAAATCACTGGATTTGTTCTGAGATGAATCAAAACACAGATCTTGAATTCTCATATATTGCACTAAAACAAAATCTAATGGCTCAAAAACTCATTCTAAAAAAAAATTGATCAGCATATCCTGATAAAAAATTTTCCTACCAACAAAAGTATAATAGAGATGTCCTTAAATAAAGATTGCAATAAAGTTAGTTTTAATATGGTGTTAAATTTTGAAGCCAGAGATGGAATTATTAAGGAGCAAGACTGCATGATTCCATTTACCAATCTCAAATATATAAGAATTAGAGAACACGAAAATATGTCATATGAGAATAAAAAATCTTAAAGACCTTCAAAGTGCAGTATAGTAGCATTATCACAGAGCTATTCACAAAAAATCCTGGTGATTAACATAAAAAAAAAAAAAAAACCAGAATCAAACTATGAGGAACAAATTATCCCCTTTATTGATACTAATAAATAAAAAAATAATCAATTTCTTATTAAGATAATGAAACAATAATTTTTGCTATATTGATTCGCACTGAAAGCAAAAAATAACAGCCAGAAAGTTGAATCATAAAATGGACAAACAATTGCAGTGCAATTTCTTAAGGTTTTTCTATATAAGAAAGGCATCAAGGTACTTGAAAGTCTTTTCCCCAAATTGCTATAAAGCATCAATAAGAAGGATTTCTCTCAATGGACTCTTTCACATGAAGCTCATGTAACTCCCATAACAATGATCAACCTATTGTCATGCATTCTCCTCTATACCCCATAACAGTGTAAGTATTATTTCAAAAATTTCTAATGCACAAAAAGCCTACCTGAAAAATATCAGTTCTATCACAATTAAAATATCACAAACCTTATTTTCAACATAAAAATAAAATATTGAAAAAATTCATGAGAGAATATATCAATGCTTGAAAAAAACAGCACGAGAAATTGCTGAGGAATCAAAAGAGAAACAATTGCAGATTGCAGGTGGGTTTTCTTATTAAAATACAAAACAAATGAAAACCTGGAAAAATATAAATTAAGGTTAGCAGCAAAGGGTTACACTTTATGGAATTAACAGCCAAAATTTTTTTTGTTCCTATTACTAAAACAAATATAATTCAAATTATACATTTTTTTGGTTGCTAATCTTGGATGGTCCATGCAATTATATGATGTGGAAAAATATAATTTTATATAGGGATATTGAAAAAGAAATTATATGGATCATCCACCAAGATTGAACAACTCTTTCACATAAAATAAAGTACGTAGACTAAAAAAGACGCTATATGAACTTAAATAATCCTCCTGAGCATAATTTGGCAGATTTGCAAAAGCCATAAATGAAATGATTTATAGGTAAAGCTAAGTAGTTCATACACTATTCAGAAAACATTCCTACTGATTAAAAAATTTTAATTCTTATTCTGTAAATAGTGATATAATTGTTATAAGTGATGACCAAAAAAAAAAAAAAAGCTTTGGAAAAGTTCGAGTTTGAGAATAAGAAAATTTTTTCCCTCAATAAAAAAAATATAGGAAGATTTACATGCATACCACTCAATTCTTTCTAACACCTAAATTTCAATTTTTAGGTACATGCCACCTTCCCTATGCATGAAAAGGTGTATTTCACTTTTTAAGAGTTAAAATGATGGTATTTTTTATGAGATATGAAAGATTTGGGTGGTATAAATGTAATAATTAAAGTTTGGGTATTATATATCTAAGTACATAAGAATTGGGTGGTATGTAAGTAAATGCTCCAAAAATATATTAGGAATATTTTGAGAAAAATAAAATGACTAATTGCGAGACACATGAAATTCCATCTCAGCCTTTAATGACTTCCAAACAAACTCCAAAGCAAATGAGTGTAGCATCAAAGTGGCTAAGAGTCTTATCACTTTTCGAGGAATAAATTATTTCCAATTTCCCCATCATCTATAAAACAAAAATAGTACAATTCTCTCACTTGCAACTTCCCACTTCTTTATGCATTGCAGCCAAACATGCCCTAGTTTTTACAAACTGCCATATTTTGGAAGATCAAAAAGGACTCTTTAAGTTTCTTCTTCAATTCAGGGAGGAATACCTGTAAAAAGAGTCTCATAAGCTGCAATACCTACTGATTATAAAGCTAGAAAACTTAAAAGGCCAAAAACCTGTCTCTAGCTAAGCTACTTTCCTAATACAGCTCCTTTACTGGATTTTAGTATTATTAATCGGTCTCATTATCATATTACTGAATTTAAAGTTTTGTATTGTGTGAGATATCAATCTCCAACTGAGTTAAAGACTTGCTTTAGATCCACTTCAGTTCTTCCTGAAGAAGCCCAGGAGAGCTATCATTCCTTCAATTCTAGCGAGCACGTAAAATCGTCTAAATAACCATTTAAACTATGATAAGAACAGTCTTAACAGCCGTCAAGCAGGTTAACACACTAGAAAAAAATTTCATATTATCTCTCAACCAGAGCTGTTTTTCTCTGCTAAATTCATCACGGTTTTTTACATCAATATAACAACCAAATATATGATATAATCCAGGGATATATCAAAATCAAATCAGCCCTAAGGTTCAGAAAAAAAAAACGGTACATACAACACAATTCTTATGTATTTACATATTTTATTTTAAAAAGATGGTAATGGCGGTAAGTATGAATGTGAGATTAAAAATTTGAGTGCAATGTATGTAAATATGAATGTTTAGATGTCAGATATGTAAATAAATAAGCATTGTGAGGTGTGTATGAAAATGCATCTCCCCCCACCCCAAAAGAATAATAAAAAAAAAACAAAATGAATGCATGAAAAATTAATATGCAGTAAATCTTTTTTTCATTAAAAAGGAATCAGTTAACTTACAATAATAACTTCCAAAAGAAAAGAAAAAAGTAAGAGATCAGATGATCAAGAACGTCACCATCTAGTATTTCCCGGTCAGTGAATAACATAAGTGGTCTCCACTGTGACTGAAGAAGGATCACATGAGATAGTACTTCCAGAGAAGAAAATGAGCATTACTGTTTCGAATTGGTATAGGTCCTGCAAAATGTTTTGATAGCATCAGGAAGGTTCATGAGTTCATGCAACTTATTGTTTGACAAAATTTATTTTCTTTGAATGTCAAATTCTCTCACACATAGTATGCCGTGTATTCAAACTAAATTTAAAAAAGCAGATTTAGGATTCAAACTTACACATAAATTTGAACCTGATGAGCCCCTTATAAATGTAGATTATTAAGGAAATCCGAAAGCCTGATGCACCATTAAAGACGTCATCATTAGTATTAGTAAAAACCTCCATTTGTGCATATCAAGTATGACGGAAAAAAGACTTCTATCAAATAACTAAATGACAAAAAATATTAATTAAATGAAATGAAGAAACCTGATATTTTTGGCTATCACTATACTTCCATCTTCAGCATCCAGGTGCCGTAATGCCACTTCTTCTAATCGACCATCTCTGTACGCATGCTAGAATGATATGTGACAAAAACATACATAAAAAAGGATAAGGAAAAAAAAATAATTTAGCAGCAAAATATTCAGAGAAGGGAACGACAGAAATGGGAGTCATAAGTATCAAATACAAGACAAATGTTGGAAGATGTCAACTCATCACCAAGTCAAAATTTAACAGTAACATAAAAATAAGGAGTATAGTATGGTAGCAACAATAACAGAGTTTGCGTCCTGGGATGCGAACTGAACGAGCTCAAAAAAGGCTGTTCCAGAGAGCTAAGGTGGCCGCCAAAATCTGCTCAAGCAATAAATAATAAAAAACTTAAGCTATCGTTGAGGCCATTTATTCGAGGAGCGGATTCATTTATAAATAATCCAGCACTAAATATATTTGCAAATAGTATAATTTATTTTTCTTAATTGCACACGTTGACAAAATGAAACCCAGTTATACACCTTTACACCAGCAAAAATGAACTCAACATCGGCAATATTATCTTTGCTCTCCTCCATGTTACTCCTCTCTCAATGGCACTCTCCCTCGCAACAATGGGTCGAGCTCTCTATCTCATCCTCCTACACCACTGCCAAATAATGCATCTCTGCTACAAAATAATACTCTAACTGTAACGCCACCAGCATTAGATCGCCATCTCTCTCTAACCATAACCGTTCCTAACAAGGTCATTGAACTCATTCGACCTACGAAAAAATATAATTTAAAAATACAAAGCTATCTATGATAAAGAGCAGGCATTAAAATAGAATAATCCAGAGTAGGGGAAGAATCAAGATAATAGGGCGACAAACAAATCGAGCATTTGAAAAACTACTTGTAGCTTGGTTCGATAAGAGCTAGTTTGTGTTTGTTTTAATTAACTAATTGAACAAATTTAAACATTTTTATAAATACTTGATTATTATTAGAACAAACTTGAAAAACTCTTTATTTGACCGTTTATGTTCACTAGCAGTATTATTTAAAACTTGCAAACAAACTCGATAAACATTTTCATTTAAAGTTTATGAAGGATTTAATGCTTATGAATAAGATTAATTAAAATTTAATTTAAAGCTTGTGAATAAACTCAATTAAAATTCATTTTAAAACTCATTTATATTAAATTAAGTTAAAATATTAATTCATAATACGTAAAAAAGATAAAGAATTTTTTTTAAATTGTCCATTTATTTTGTGCATTAATATTCTCATTTTAGTTATTCATTTAGTAGCTCCTTTTTTCGTATGTTCAAGAAGTAACTCCTTTATAAGCTCGACAAAGCTTGTTTGACTAGAAAATGGGTACTCAATCATACTACTTACTAGTTTGCTTGATAAGACTTATTTTATTAGAAAATAAATAACTCGATAGCACTAAAGTTAATTTACTCAATAAAGATTTTGTGGTTAGAAATCAAGAAACTCAATAATAATACTTGTTAATTTGCTCGATGGTGATTCAATTATCATCATATAAAACAAATATGAACTGAACAAACAGTTAGAATGAAAAAATGAGCCAAACTTGAACATGAACATAAAAGCTAGACTAAAGCTTGAATTTTATAAAGATGCTCAAGTTGAACACAATCCTGCTTGACTCTGTTCAATTCCTTTGTAACCCTGCATAAAAAAAACAATGAAAGAAAGGGGAGTAGGAGATTTAAATGAATGAATGCCATGCGGAGAGGTAAACAAGAGTTAGAGCAAACAAAAAAAAAAAAAAAAAAAAAAAAAAAAAAAAACAAAAAGTAAAAACATACCAAAAAAACCGAGTAAAGAGAGCAATTTACAAAATAAAAACTAAAAAAATAATCTAATTTACTGCATCTTAAAAAACTTAAACTACATATGAAATACATGGTTAGACACTATTAGTTAAAAAAAGCTTTATTGAAAAGAACAAAACCACACCTAAATAAATAAAAAATTATAAAGTATTCTCAAATGAAAAACAAAAATAAACAACAAAAAAAATGATTAATGAGCAATCTTTGTAATACGCCTTAACCTATGTTCAATTATCCTCTACCATAACTTTAAACTATGACACATCAACTTAATTTCTCTATAGTTTGCAGACTCTTGTGCATCCTCTTTATTCTTAAAAATGGGGATAAATAATACTCTTCCTCCACTCCTCAAGCATCTTTTTAGTTTTTAAAATAATATTAAAGAGTTTAGTAAGCCAAGAAACTCCCAAATTTCCTATATATTTTCACATTTCAATTATCAGATCCTATAGACTTTCCACCCTTGGTTTCCTTTAAAGACTCATTAACTTCTTTTTTACTAATGCGACGGTAAAAATGAAATATTTTATTATTATTAACGATATTAATATCACTAAGGTTGATCATATTTTAAGAAATTTTATTAAAAAGTTTATCAAAATAACTCATCCACCTATATTGAATATCTTTTTCTAAGAAAAATAATTTTTGATTTTCTCTTTAATATACTTTACTTGAGTTAAATCTTTACTTTTATTTTCTTTTTGTTTGGCTAGCTTGTACATATATTTTTCACCCTCATTAGTAGCTAATCTATTATAAAGATCACTAAAAGCAGAATTTTTAACATCACATATTGTTTTCTTAAACGCCCTACGGGTCATTTTATATTTTTCCTAATTCTCTAAGCTTTTCCATTTAAATCAATTTTTATAACATAACTTATATTTTATCTTTTCTTGCACATTATTTATCACAAACTATTTTTATTTATAGAAACTTTTTCTTTTGATTCTCCAAGTTCATCTTTTGCCACTTATTTAATAGTATTCATTACTTTATCCCACATAAAATTTGTTTCTTCATGAACATCCCAAATCTTGAAATTTTGAAGTTTGCTCATAAAAATAATTTTATTTGTCTTTTAGGTGCGCCTATCAAATTCTATGACAATAATTCCTAATATTCTTTATTTTATAACTCTTTATCTTAAAATTTAGAACTAATAATCAATGTTGAGTACTTAAATCCCCACTTGAAATGACCTTACAATCTTTACATTCTCGATGAACTCTTCTTCTCATAAGATATTAATCAATTTGTGTTTTATTAGATCCATTCTTATAAGTAATAGTATGCCTCTTTTATTGAATAAAATATTAGCAATTACAAAACATACGCTAAAGCAAAATCTAATATGGCTTTACCTTCTTCATAAATCACTCCAAAACCGTAGCCACCATGAATATTTCTAAAATTTTCTACCACTCTGCCGACATGTCCATTTAAATCCCCTCAAATAAAAATTATTTCTTCAAGAGGTATCATTTGTATTAAGTGGAAGTCGAAAGGGATATCCATCAATACTAATAACTAAAATTTTAAACATCTTATATAGCATCAATTCTACTAAAATGCAAGAACTCTACTCAAGTTACAATATTATCAGAGAAAAAATAGGCACCTTTGATTCTACTATAGAGCTAGCAACATCTATGCCAAAAAATAGAGATGAATGAGAAATTCATTACAAGAAGAGGTGATGAATGGGATATCCATCCTGATAAGAAAGCGTTGAAAAGGCAGAAGAAGGCTGCACCAACAATATAAGTGGAAGTTTTTCATAGATCCTAAAAATATTTTCAAAACTTCGGAAAAATATCTTTGGAAGCTTGAAGCTTTCATGCACATTGTTAGACTGATCCAGTTACTGAACGATTGAAGTTGGACTATTCTTTTACTACAATTTATGGTTGGTTGGGTTATTTAAGATTCAGTTAAATTGGGTTTATCACTTGGTTTGGCCTACTCATAGATTGCAAATCACAAATTGATTAAGGATATAAGAAACTACTCTGTAAAATTATTTTTTGCGAAAGAGAAAGTGAAAGATGTAAGCATGGTGTAGCAAATTACAGAAGAGAAGATGAGAATCTTAAGTGCAACTGATTGTGGTGGATGAGCTGACCTGCGGTTCAACAATGTTAACGGAGAAACAGGAAGTAGGAAGAAGAAAAATAAGAGGAACCTAGAAGATATAATGAATTTCCAAAGACAAAGCCAAAAGGACTTATTTCATCTTCAACTATATTTAAATTACAAGACTATGATCACAATTTCTAAAAATAAGTATAACTGAAAATGACAAAGCTACTGCTAAATAAAACAAACAAGGATGACAACAACAACAACAGCAACAACAAAGTCTTAATTCCATTACGTGGGGTCGGGTAGATGAATCCCTTTTCTCCATTGCGTCCTACTTAGTGTCATATTTTCAATTTGTTCTAATGAATTAAGATCATTTTTTACACAATAAGCCCAAGTCTTCCTAGGTCTACCTAATTCTTAACAAAAGTCGAATTTAAATCATATACTATCCTAATCAGATCATCAGATGGTCGATGTTTGACGACAAATAAGGTAAAAAAAAATAAATAAAACGCCTAAATATTCTAACTCAAACAAAACTAATTATTAAAAGTTGAAATTTTAAACATCTTGCACCACACCAATATGGATGCTTCAATGCCTTTTGAAGTAGTCCCATGAAGTCTTTTTCCAAACTGGCGGAAAAGATAAAAACATCCTTCCTTGGCTCTATAACTTTTTCATTATGTCTCTAATGATAAAAATAAAATGATACCTTAGAATGAATGATTTTAATTGAGCCATTATGGAAAGAATGAGTATAAATGAGCGTCAAGGCTAGTAACAACAGTTGTAGGTTAAATGAAATTTAATACAAAGCTTTGGAACATGCATAAGGCTTTGGCACCTAACAAAATGCTTTAAAAATGAGCATAAAGCTTTGGCACCCAACAAGGTACGCTGTGATATAGACCAAACCATCTAATGTAGAATGATTGCGAGTCCAGTGTTGTTCAAGCAAATTAAAATAAGATCAAAACGAGAACACAAAAGAATAAAAAATTATCAACACAACTTCAACCAAAAAAAAAAAAAAACCCTCTTTCATACAACAAAAACAACAAAAAAGACTTAATCCCACTACGCGGGGTCGGCTACATGAATCTATTTTCTCCATTGTGTCCTAT